ATTTGTTGCTAATAAATTGGGAACATTTAAACTTTAATAATAATATAAACACAATTTACAACACTTTTTTTAAAACATTTTATAAAGTCTATGATACAAATTTTCCTATGTGTGAAACAGTTGTAAAAACAAAAGACATATCATGTCCCTGGATTACAAAAGGTCTTAAAAAATCCTCGAAAATAAAACAAAAGCTATATATTAAATATTTAAAATCAAAATCAGTAAAACATAAAAATAACTATATCACCTATAAAAACTTATAAGAAAAACTTCGCAAAAATGCAAAAAAAAATATTACTCCTACTTGATCAATAAACATAAAAATAATTCGAAACAAATCTGGAAAATAATGAAAGAAATTACAGGAAAACTTAAAACAAATACAATTTCTCTGCCACATGAAATAAAAATTGACAACAAACTAATTAACGACTCAAACTATATTGCAGCTGAATTTAACAAATTTTTTACAACAATTGGAACTAAACTAGCAAACAGTATTCCGTATACCGACGATAAATCAGCTGAATTCCAAACATCAACTTCATCAAGTTTTCACTTTACTGAGCTAACTTATGATGAATTTGAAATTGCCTTTAGTTCATTAAAAAGAAATAAAACAACTGGGTATGATGATATTAATGTGAATATTATAATAGACTTTTGTGATGTTATAAAACACATTATTTTTAAAATCTTTAGAGCATCCATCAGTCAAGGAATGTTTCCAGACTGTCTAAAAATAGCTAAAGTATTTCCTGTCTTCAAGACAGGAGATCATACAAACATAAATAATTATCGCCCTATTTTAGTTCTTTCAGTCTTTTCAAAAATACTAGAAAAAATAATGTTCAATCGAATTTACGACCATCTAATTAATAATAAAATCTTATACGAAAACCAATTTGGTTTTAAAAAAAAACAATTCAACAGAACACGCTATTCTCCAACTTACGCGCGACATTTAAGAATCTTTTAAAAAATCTCATTTCACATTAGGAGTATTTATTGACTTATCTAAAGCTTTTGATACCGTCAACCATCAAATTCTAATATAAAAATTATTATCATATGGAATAAAAGATAACACCCTCAATTGGTTAAAAAGCTATCTTACAAATCGTAAGCAATAAGTTTATAAAAAAGAATCCTCGTCTCAAGTGTTAATGAATGTAACGTGTGGTGTTCCACAAGACTCCATACTTGGACCTCTTCTCTTTATAATATATCTAAATGATCTTCATAAAACTTCAAGCCTAACACAAATAATCTTTGCAGACGACACAAATTTATTTCTATCTCATGAAAATATTAATATTCTTTTCAACAACATGACAAATGAATTAAAAAAAGTTTCTGATTGGTTCAAAATAAATAGGTTATCTCTCAACACAGCTAAAACTAAATGGACACTTTTTTATCCACTCCATAAAAAACATAGAATACCTCATTTGTTACCCGAACTATATATTGACAATGTAATGATAAAAAGAGAAAAAGTAACAAAGTTTCTAGGAATCTATATTGATGAAAATTTAACTTGGAAACATCACATTAACATTATCTCTTCTAGAGTTTCCAAATGCATCGGTATTCTTTATAAAGCTAGAAACATACTAAATAAACGGCAGCTGACTCAACTGTACTATTCATTTGTTCACTGTCATATAAACTATGCAAATATTATATGGGGAAGCACTCAAAAGACAAAACTTAAAACTCTTTTTAATCATCAGAAACACGCAGCTTGCGCAATTAATTTTAAAAATCGTCTTACTCACTCTGCGCCACTTCTTAAACAAGGGTTGAATTAACGCATCGCGATTTGCGATATCTGTTAAATTATCTGGTCTTCAAAGTTTAAGTTTATGGAAAACCACGAAATTTACGGAATAGGCGAATAAACTTTAATTTGTTAGTGAAAATGTTATGAAAAACAAAACAATAAATTTATTACTACAAAAGTAATAATACTACAGTGTTGTTACTTTTATAACACTCTTTTATGTTACATTTATAGCTTATTATTTGATCAAACAACACATAATCAAGATATTATAAATAAAAATGATTTAGTTAAGTAATTCCAAACTTTAATTAAAGTAGTAATGCATCTAGAAAAAATACAATGGATATTTAAACAATGTTAAAAACCTCAGCAACTTTTACGAATACATATTTTTATAAACAGTTTAGCATTTCTAAACATCTTACAAACGGTCCGGAAAAAACGCGCGTTCACTTTTAAATCAACCAATGAAAACACTGGTAATTTACTTCTTAGGAGAAATCTATATTAAAAGGGGAGGGAGGGGGAGGCTAAAAACTTAAATTTTGTTTTATTATTTAATCAATTAAATCATAATAAAAGTAAAGACAAAAATATATATTTCTAAATATACTTCTTTATAACTAAAATTTATTAAATCGAACACCTCTGTTTTTAGTTTTAAGTAAATGTCAGTACTACTCTCAGTGGCGAAACTGCGGTGGGGGGTGGGGGGTGGGGGGTGGGGGGTGGAGCAGACAAAAAGTGTCCTAATTTTAAACTAATTTTAGGTTGCATGGGAGATAAGGGGCTCAATTTAAAAATCGTGCGGAGGGAGGGGGGATTTTGTTACTGACTACTCTAATGTGCTTAATACAAAGGTAGGTGGGGGTGAGAATTCTAGTCAGGATGTATAAAATGGGAGGAGAAAATAATAAAAAAAAGCGGGAGGATTTACAATGAAAGTTTTATTATTTATCAGTTACCAATGTATATTTTTTTTAACTTTAAGGCCAATTTTCACTGAATTTTTGTTTTAAGATATAGTTTTTTCTTTATAACAAGTGACTTGTTATAAACAAATAACACGATTTTCAAAATCAGCCCCATATCGCCCATGCAATCTAAAATTAGTTTAAAATCAGGACACTTTTTGTCTGTTAACCAAAGCCCCCCTCCCCCCCCTCCGCAGTTTTGCCACTGAGAGTAGTACTGACATTTACTTAAAACTTAAAACAGAGGTGTTCAATTTAATAAATTTTACTTATAAAGAAGTATATTTAGAAATATATTTTTTTGTCTTATATAGATTTCTCCTAAGAAGTAAATTACCAGTGTTTTTATTGGTTGATTTTAAAGTGAACGCGCGTTTTTTCCGGACCGTTTGTAAGATGTTTAAAAATGCTAAACTGTTTATAAAAATATGTATACGTAAAAGTTGCTGAGGTTTTTAACATTGTTTAAATAGCCATTGTATTTTTTTTAGATGCATTACTACTTTAATTAAAGTTTGGAATTACTTAACTTAATCATTTTTATTTATAATATCTTGATTATGTGTTGTTTGATCAAATAATAAGCTATAAATGTAACATAAAAGAGTGTTATAAAAGTAACAACACTGTAGTATTATTACTTTTGTAGTAATAAATTTATTGTTTTGTTTTTCATAACATTTTCACTAACAAATTAAAGTTTATTCGCCTATTCCGTAAATTTCGTGGTTTTCCATAAACTTAAACTTTGAAGACCAGATAATTTAACAGATATCGCAAATCGCGATGCGTTAATTCAACCCTTGTTAAAGATATGAAAGCTTTGAATGTTTATCAACTTAATATTTTTAATATTTTATGCTTTATGTTCAAGTGTAAAGAAAATTTATCTCCACAGGTATTTCAATATCTTTATTCTTTAAAACCGAAAAACAAATATAATTTACGAATTGACAACAATCTTAATGCTCCTTTTTGCAAAACTAAATACGACGAATTTTGTATGTCCTATCGTGGACCTCTTCTTTGGAACAAAATAGTTTTACCTAATTTTGACTTTTCAATCAAACTAAACTACTCCTCATTCAAAACCAAAATTAAAGAAATTATCTTTTCAATTGAAAACATCTTTATCTATTTTTGAGTTTTTATCAATTTATTGCTGATATATTATACTTTATTGTATTATGTTTTACTATTTACGAATATTTCCATGAGTTCTTTGCAAACTTATGTATTTAATGGCTAGTATTTTATTACTTTTTATTACTGTGTTTTGTTAAACTTCATATTATCTTTGTTATTTTACGAATTTTTATAACTTCATTATAATATTACGTATTTATATTATATTATACTCGATACTAAAATGCATTGTAAAGGGCTTCATGATAAGATCCTCATGATCTTCTAGAAGTCCTGCCACTAAATTTGTAATATGTTAAAATTTGTATTATTAAAAAAATTATTTGGAAAAAAAAAAAAAATTAAAAAAAATAAAATACAGAGCTCGGCGATAAAACATTTTATTTCTTCTTTACGCTCAAGAGCCGACGTCACCGAGGGAACCAAGGAGGGGTGCAAAGTGCCCATCCCACTTTTTTTTTAAATGACCTTTTTTTTTAAAGAAAGTTCTAGATATAGAGGAGTTTTTTTAAAAATTAAAGATTGTTCTCCTTCACTTCGAAACCCGTTTCATCTGCCCTGAGCTCAGGTTTATAATTTTATTGTGTCTTTTTTCGAATAAAAAATTTTATCGAAAATCTTTTGCGTATATTAAAAAAAAACAAAAAACTCAATATCAAAACATTGGTATCTGAAACTGGGATCTTTAAAGATGATCCCGACCCAGTCTACTCCAATTTCCGGAATTAAAATGATTTAGTCGGAGTTAAAATGAGCCGGGAATTACTTCATATTTATAAATGTTGTCTAAAAAGCTCAATTAATCGATAACATTAAATTGACTCTGTTACTTTGTATTTTAATATGTCTAAAATATTTGTTATGCGTAAATATTTTAGGCATACTAAATGCTGCATCTTAACAAAAATATTTAAAATGTTTAAGCCGTGGTTTTCCAATTTGATCGATTGCACGTTATATTATTATATTTCAGATAGTTAAATAGAATTTTAAACTTTTTTCATTAGTTATTTTAAAAACTTTGTTGTTAAAATAAATTTGTACAAGATAAAGATGTAAAAGATAAAACAACAAAAATTTGAACCTACCAATCCAGCAATTGCACCATTTAAAAAAGCTTTTGTTCCACTTATGTTTCCTCGTAACTCAAGTCTTTTAAAACCATATGCCACTAATGCTGATGCATGAGCTGCCAAAATATTATTTACAAAACCCTGACTTGTCCCAAAGTTTTTACTCATAAGGCCTCCAAAAGCCAGTGTACCACCGACAAGCATCAGCTAAAAAATGTAGATAACACTATTAGAATAAACATCGACCAGTGAACCTAATCAGTTCATCCAGTGAACCTAATCAATATTTAAAAATATTTTAAACTTTTATTACAAAAACTTTTGGAAAAAGAAAATGTTGACGACATTTATAATATAAGTATCAAAAAAAATCTCGAAACTCTAGTTCAATATACATTGAAGGAACAAAAAAAATGTATTGTGTAATCTATAAAAGTATATTCACTAGATTGTCATAATCAAATTTTATACAAATAAACTAAACTTCACAAAAATAAATATTATTTATATAAATTAATTTACTCATAAATAAATAATTGATATTAAATAAGATAGTAAGATTATTTAAATGAATTGATTTTAAATGGATAAGAAGATTTACTCGTAGAATTTCGTAGTTTACTCGTAGAATTATTCATTATTCGGATAAATGAATAAATTTTATTTTACAAAAATAAATATTGCTTATGCGGAGTAATCTAAAAACAGAGTAAATTTTTTCCAGTTTATAATCAAAATCGTTACATTTCCAGGACTACAACGACTTGTATAATTTAAACCCCCGTGCCATAAAAATGAGTACCGACCCATATTTTTATTTTTCATTAAGGTCAAATGTGATTGAATAATTCATGAAAATCATGAATATGTTTTAATTCTTTATGTTAATTAAAATTTTTTTAGCATTTTTAACATCTTTTTTTTAATGAACTTTTTATAGAAAACTTTATAACAATTTTTTTAATTAATTTTTTATATTAAAGTTTTTTGTGTTTCTGCGAAAATGTCACAACTGATAAATGTAAATCTAACTTTAAATAAAATTTTACTTCAAACTAATCAAGCAGTTTTGTCGAAGAAATAAAAGAATAGAAAAAAAATACAACTTCCTAACAAGCACAAAACGTTCAATAGACATTTTGCGGAAATCCTAGCGACGTAGTACTTCATAGGGCCTAGCACAAATGTCTGTGTTTGGCAATATTTTATCGCACCGAAAGTTTGACAAACGATTAAACGTTTGACGCGCCCTTTTTGATACTGTTTGTTAGTTTTAAAAAAATTTTAATATTTTTTCATACAGGTGTAATTTGTCCGTCAAGAGGAGGAAAGTTCTTTTTCTGTCGCTCTTTTCGAGCAGATAACAAAATGGTCCCAATCAAAGAAGCACTTCCAGCAAAAACATGTAGATAGCCTGCACCATATTTATCCTAAAATTTTGTGAAAAATAATAATATATATATATATATATATATATATATATATATATATAGATATATATATATATATATATATATATATATATAAATATATATATGCATATATATATATGTATATATAGATATATATATATATATATATATATATATATATATATATATAATATATATATATATAAATATATATATGCATATATATATGTATATATATATATATATATATATATATATATATATATATATATATATATATATATATATATATATATTATATATGCATATATATATATATATGCATATATATATATATATGCATATATATATGTATATATATATATATATATATATATATATATATATATATATATATATGTATATATATATATATATATATATGTATATATATATATATATATATATATATATATATATATATATATATATATATATATATATATATATATATATATATATATATATATATATATATATATATATATATATATATATATATATATATATATATATATATATATATATATATATATATATATATATATATATATATATATATATATATATATATATATATATATATATATATATATATATATATATATATATATATATATATATATAAATATACATATATATATATATATATATATATATATATATATATATATATATATACATATATATATATATATATATATATATATATATATATATATATATATATATATATGTATATATATTTATATATATACATATATATATGTATATGTATATATATATATATATATATATATATATATGTATATATATTTATATATATACATATATATATATGTATATATATTTATATATATACATATGTGTAATATATAAATATATATATATAAATATATATATATATTTATATATATATATATATATATATATATATATATATATATATTTATATATATGTATATATATATATGTATATATATATATGTATATATATATATATATATAATATATGTATATATATATATATATATATGTATATATATATGCATATATTTATGTGTATATATATATATATGTATATATATATATATATATATATATATATATAATATATATATATATATATATATATATATATATATATATATATATATATATATATATATATATATATATATATATACAGTGGTTTTCATAAATTTAGACGCACTCATATTTGAGAATAGAAATTTTAGTTTTTAAAAATAACGAAAAAAGATTTTGATTTAGTTTTATTTCAATTATGATATTTTCAATTATGATATATTCAATTAAACTATATTTAGTTTTTTTTCAATTATTATAATTATTTTCAATTATTTTTTCAATAGATAAATTCATACTGAATAAAAAATTTAAAAAAAAATTACTTAAAAAAATACAAATACTAAGTAATATTTAGGTACAACTACATGGTATTAAAAAAAAGTAATTCAAAAAAATAATTCATAAATTTAGACGCACGATACATTAGGAGGCATAATTTATGAGCCAATCAATATTTTGTGTATCTGCCTTTTGCTTTAATACAACTAAGATCTCTTCTAGGCATAGACTCAACAAAATTTGTCACATCGATTCTGGGACCCTATCCCAGGTCTCCTTAAGGACGTCCTTCAGCTGGCCAAGTGTGTAATTTTAAACCTTTGCCAATTCACGGTCAATCCAAGCCCAAATTTTTTTCAGTAGGGTTCAAATCAGGTGAGTATGGAGGCCATGGTAATGTCTTGATATTATTATCGTTGAACCACTCCTTTGTGTAGTATGCAGTATGCGCAGTAGCGCCATCTTGTTGAAGTTTCCATGGTTTATCATTGAGCATAAGCAGGTCAATTGATGAAATTAGGTTGTTTTCCAGTACTTCTACGTATATTCTGGAGTTGATTCTTCCGGTGTATGTTTGACACATACCAACGTCTTTGTAATTGAAGCATGACCAGATTCCTATCAAGCCTCCTCCATTCTGTACAGTCGGTCTATTGTACCTGGCGTAATACTTTTTGTGAGCCATTCTTTTAACTATTATGTTATATTTGCGATTGATAAGCTCAAAGTTACTCTCGTCACTCTACATAATGTTTTTCCATTGTTCTATTGTCCAATACCTTCTTTCACGACACCATTTTAGTCTCCTTTGTTTATCATATGGACGCAGGAGCGGTTTCTTCAAAGCAGAGTAGACTCCAATCTTGTATTTGATAAGTATTCGGCGTACTGTGCTTTGAGAAATAGATTTATTTTGCGTTGTATTAAATTCTGTGGTCAATTCTTTGTAACTAATTCTAGGATTAGCTCTAAAAAGGTCATTATTGTCAGTTCTGGTGGTTGACAAGGGTCTACTTGGCCTCGTTTTCTCGCTAGCACCACCAGTGTGAAGAAAGTTTTGCTTTGTTGTCCGAACGCATTTTTTCAGAAACTCCAATTAACCTGGCAATTTCTCTATTACTTTTGGTTCCTTCTTTGATGTGAGCAATAATTTGTTATCTACTAATTAACAAACCATTAACAAGATATAAAACTTTATTGATTGTGCGTCTAACTTTATGAATAAAATAAAATCAAACTTATTAATTAACTTTTTTGTGTTAATTGGTATAGAATAAGTAATAAACATCCTGTAAAAAAATTAAAGTACTCTATAATAGAGTTTCACTTCCTCTATTAAATTATTTATCAAACATAGCGGTAGCACTTTTATTTTATTTTTTTTTTAAGTATTTTCTTACATATATGTAAAAAAAAAATGAGTGCGTCTAAATTTATGAAAACCACTGTATATACAGGGCCGGCGCGAGTAGGTGTCACGTGTGGGGTGTCATTACATTTTGCCGACTTAAAAAAAAAAAAAAAGTCCTCGTTTTCCAAAATTTGCCCACTGCCATGACAACATTTGCAGACTGTCTAGATTACCGACTAACCTATATCAAAAGGGTCGACATTTGCCGACTAACTAGTCTAAAAGGGACCAATTTGCCGACTAAGGGTCCAATTTACCGACTAAAAACCATTGATGAGGGTGACCCCCCTACACTCCCCTATATATATATATATATATATATATATATATATATATATATATATAATATCTATATATATATATAATATATATATATATATATATATATATATATATATATATATATATATATATATATATATATATATATATATATATATATATATATATTTATTTATTTATATTTCTTCGTAAATATTTAAATATAGGAGTGTATGATGTACCCTATATTTGACTTGTGCTCCGTCGCTATACTCTATTCCTTTTGCGAGCCAACCGTCATCACTTGATGTCCAGTGACGTACACACGGGTAGGTAAAACCTTAAGCATAAAAACTTGTTTAAATTTACAAATAGTTAACCATATAAACTTTTATTTTATATACTGTTAGTTCATATTTCTAGTATTATAATTTACCTGAAACCAAGATTGCGACAAATGGATATATCCAATGTCTTAGACGTGACACAAATCCACTGTTGACAAGCACTATAATTAAACTAGTCAGACAAACTTCTGGAACGAAGCGCTCAAAATCACTAATGCTTGCATCAATCAAAAAAAACTTGGTGTGAGATAGATAAAAATTGCTGCTTGAAGGATCTCCAACAGCAAACGCAAAGCCACATCCCCAAAATGCAATAGTGGATACGGCTAAAAGAAAAAAAAAGCGAACATTTTTGTAATTAAAACCGATTTGGTTTTAAATCATACTTTACAATAAAAATATCATCCAATATCAACTTTAAATAGTTATAAAGTTTTTTCTATACGTTTCACTTTCAAGTTATTTTAAAATCATATGTAATTGAATGTAGTTTTGAGCGTTTGTATCTTCACCGCACAGGGGGAACATTCCATTGAAATAGGTGGCCAAAAATATAATCGTTGTATTTATATGGATATAAGGCCTTAATTAAGTAAAATAGAGATTTAAGATAATTTTTTTTGTTTTGTTTTGTGTTTAGCCAGCTCATAGGTGCAGCAAGGTAGGGGGTGGGGAGATGCACATAAGCGCTGGGGGCATCAGTTGGGTTTTTTAATATATGAAACTTTTGGGCATTGTTTAAATAATGGACAATTTTCCAATGCTACAAACTTGTTATGCTCATACTTAAGTCAAAATATAATGTTTTGCAAAAAAGTTCCGATTGTTGAAGGCCGGGATCAAAAATACCTTAAAAAGTTAGCTCTTTCCCTTCCCTCCTCCTTACCCCATCCTAAATATGAGGGCAATAAGTCTAAAAAAAGATTTTTGCTTCCATCTTATACTAAATTTAAATTCATTAACCTGGTTTTAAATTTCATTGAACAATTTTTTATTCTATGAAAGTTATGATCATGCAAACCTCATTTTGGGGAGGGTGAAAACTTTATTATAGTTACTACATTTACTTAATATGTAAATGTAGTAACTATAATAAAGTAAAGTATTTTAAAGTTCAAAATATTATTTTGAACTTTAAAAGATTATTAAGTAAAAATTAAATTCTGCCGTTTTTATTGTCAGCTAATAATAAATAATAATAAAAACTAATAATAAAAAAAAATTAATAAATAAACCTTGAGGATATTCTTGTTTATAAACTTCAATGTTTTGAACCTAATGGATGTTTCATGAATGTTTTTAAAGATGAGCATTTGTTTTTTATTTCGGAAACTGCTTGGTGCTTCTTTATGAGTATTTTCATTTAAAAAAAAAGTTTTGAAAGTTTGTTAGTCAAGAAATATGCAAAAGCTTCGTCATTTTCTCTGGCAACGCGTAAAACACTAACGATTCGTGTCGCCTTTTTGTAACGACACAAAGTAATTTGACTAAATTAAAGTCACGATTATTAAATACGGTTCTTTGTACCACCAGCAATATTTTTTCGACAGATTTAGTTTTTGAATCAAATGATGTATTTGCTATTATTCGTCTTTTGGTGCAAGAACTCGATTCATCAAACTCTTTTGTTGGTCTACCTCTTTTGCTTATTCATTTATTAAACCCTCTTGATTACCTGGTTATTCAATCTAAATCCATAACCTCTTTCATTTTAATAAATTTATGTTGTCTTCTCTGACTTGAATACTAATAATAATGTATTTAAACCAAATACTTACATTATAAAAAGTTTTTTTCGAAACCTGAAAACATTTCACAATTTGTCTTAAATTGATTTCCTCCATTATCTTAGCTTACAACAATAGTTTTATTAAGTAAAAAGAAACTTTTTAACAGCATTTAGAAATTCATGTGGTTTTTTGTCAATTAGTGGAAGATCAAAAATATACTTTAGAACTTTAACTTTCTTAAACTAATTATGTATTTTAAAACCATAAACACATGAAATTAAAATAAAAAATAACTGTTTTCCTTTCAAGAACAGCAAGAAAACAAGTTTACTTTAGTCTTAAAGTAGTTTTTTTTTTTTTTTTACTTTTAGATTAATGAAAAAAAAAAATGTTTTTTATTTGAAGTTCTTTTATTTTTTTAAAAAAACATTAATTTTTTAAAATTATTTAGCGCTCAAGATCGCGGATGATTGCAGCCCCATTTCTCAGGGTAGTTAGTAGACGCTATAGACTAAAAAAATATCAAAATGTGGAAAAGGTTCAAATTGAAACAATTTTTTGATTCTTCATCAAAGTTAAAATTTAGTACTTTTGTGCATAATTTTTTACTTTCAATGCTAAAAATTGTAGTACCAACTAGTTCAGGAAATTGTTATTTTTTTTTATTTTTAATAATCTATATTTTAAACTTTCCAATGATGTATATATTGTCAATTTTTTAATGATTTATATATTAAAAAAATAAATCCAGAATCTTAAGAATTTTTTAAAAACCCAACTTCAAGAAACCGCCACCATTTTTTTGATTTTTGGTCTTGTGATTTCCCACTGTGCACTGGTCGGTCACCGGTCGCTCATTAAAATTTGTGTGATTTTTTGCAGTTTTTTATCCAAACAATTTTCTAGATATAGAAAATATCAAACTATGGTTGTTCAATTACATTAAAAACTAATTTTATTGCATCAACACTGATTTTATTTATGCCGGTGTCGGAAAAAATC